TCTATGCTTTTGCCAATGCTGTTATCTCTCCTGGCATCTCCTACCCGCTGTGCCACCATCCCCCACCTCCCCTGTCCAAAATCTTGATCATCCTTTAAGGCACACTCAAATCTTTCAAGAAACGGCCATGACAACTGACAACTGTGCTTTTAAAAACCTCTGTGCTTTGTCAAAAGGCACCTTGTCTTTGTGTCTCCCCTAATTAATTACAGTTGGTTGAAAGCAATACTTTTATATATCTAACCACACTGAAATGTCACTATGCATTTTCCAACTGAGTAAAAAAAAACAAAAAACCTACTCACTTCTAGTGGAAAAATGTTGTCAGAAGTGGATGGGAGGGCTTTCCTGGTGGCGCAGTGGTTAAGAATCCACCTGCCAATGAAGGGGACATGGGTTCGAGCCCTGGTCCTGGAAGATCCCACATGACACGGAGCAACTGAGCCCGTGCGCCGCAACTACTGAGCCTGTGCTCTAGAGACCGCGAGCCACAACTACTGAAGCCCGTGTGCCACAACTACTGATGCCCGCACGCATAGAGCCCGTGCTCCGCAAGGAGAAGCCACCACAATGAGAAGCCCGTGCACCACAACAAAGAGTAGCCCCCTGATCACCACAACTAGAGAAAGCCCGTGCACAGCAACGAAGACCCAACGCAGCCAAAAATAAATAAATAAATTTATTAAAAAAAAAAAAAAAAAGAATAAGTGGATGGGAGCAATTCCTTAGACTCTTTCTCAAAGGAGAAAATACTATGTGGTTTCCAAGGGTGCAAAAGCCGTTTCCTACACCTTCCCATAAGGAAGAAGGTGGTATCTACACAATCATTACCTGGAACTTACAAAGAAATGCATGCAAGGAAAAACTGGCAGGCTGGAATAATCTCCTCCAATGCTATTGGGCACCATCCTCTTATGTCCTATTGCTGTGGTCCCCAACCTTTTTGGCACCAGGGACCGGTTTCGTGGAAGACAATTTTTTCACGGACCGGGGGTGGGGGGGTGGTTTCAGGATGATTCATGGGCATTACATTTACTGTGCACTTTATTTCTATTATTATTACATTGTAATATATAATGAAATAATTATACAACTCACCATAATACAGAATCAGTGGGAGCCCTGAGCTTGTTTTCACTTGTCACTCACTGATAAGGTTTTGATATGAGTCTGCAAGCAATTGATTTATTATGGTCTCTGTGCAGGCAAACCTCTCTGCTAATGATAATCTGTATTTGCAGCCGCTCCCCAGCGCTAGCATCACAGCCTCAGCTCCACCTCAGATCATCAGGCATTAGATTCTCGTAAGGAGCGCGCAACCTAGTTCCCTCGCATGCGCAGTTCACAGTAGGGTTCGAGCTCCTATGAGAATCTAATGCCGCCGCTGATCTGACAGGAGGCGGAGCTCAGGCGGTAGTGCAATGATAGGGAGAGTCTGTAAATACAGATGAAGCTTCGCTCACCTGCCCGCTGCTCACCTCCTGCTGTATGGCCTGGTTCCTAACAGGCCACAGGCTGATACCGGTCCATGGCCCAGGGTTGGGGACCCCTGCCCTATCGTGACAACCATTCAGCATGGATTGAGTGCTTACTGTATGTCAAGCACTGTGCTAAATGCATTATATACATTATCTTATTTAATCCTCCCAACAGCCTGAAGTGGTCCTTACTATCCTGTTGGAAGATGTCACTGAGAGGATGGAACTGCCGCTGACTCTTGAGCAGGACTGGGGTAATCGGAGGCTCCTCACCCCTCCCGTCCTTGAAATGTATATTCCACCCATTCTTCTTGCACTAGGACCCAGTTCAAGGATGCGGCTTTGAGAGAGTAGGATGTTGTTGAGACCATCAGGATGGGATACACCACTGAACCCCATTAAGGCCTCTATGTAAACTGTTGAGATTCTGGCGGGCCGGTGCAGAGATCTTGTGGCGCCCAAGACAAGCCTTGTATGTAAGTTCTCTTGTTGCTAAACCTGCCACCTACCAATCTGGAATGGCTGTCTCTTTCTTTGGCCTCTTCTTGCCCTCTGAGTATGGGGCCAGTTTCAGATTTCAGCTGGCAAGTTCCCAAGGGTTCAAACCAACATATCCCCATTTTATAGATGAGACAGCTAACTTACAGAACAGTTCAGCAATTTTCCCAGGGTGACAAAGCAACAAGGTGTTAGAGCTGGTTTGGATCCATGTCACCTGATTTCAAAACTCTCATTCTTACTATACTATTTATATCTTCTACCTAGAAACTCTAGCTAACATTAAAGAGAATGGTTAATACAACCTTAACTGAAAATGACCAGTTTTGCAATCTTTTTCCCCTTTTCAAGTCTTTTTAAGTAACACCTACTCAGTGTTTAACATAAAATATTTAAATATGTGTAAAAGTTAAACAGAGAGTGTCTTCTTTTTAATGGGCCTCTCTTTTTCTCCAGCATTTCCTGCATAGAGACATTGGCTTGACAATTATTATGCCACAGAATCAATAGTACTAATTTTCACACTTGATTAATAAATAAGTGGAGGCCCCAGATGTTATGGGATGGATCCACAGATCCCCTGGGAGTTGAGAGAGAGTCCAAAAGGAAAAAAAAAGCCACTTTAAAAAAAAAAAAAAAAAGTTAGGCTGCAGACAAGAGTCTAGAGATCAAAAGTCTAGATTCAAAAGTGAAACTCTGAAAAAAAAAAAAGTGAAACTCTGGATCAGTGCTTTAAGAAGATTTAAGAAGATTTTGAATTTGAATAGGTAAAAATGAAAGAAAAAAAAGATTTGGGGATCCACACCAAAAGCAGATCAGAAACTGTGGTCTTGCATCTGAATGGGAAGCAAGAGTCAGAATCTTTGTTGGTTTGGAAGAGAGAGGATAAGAAAGCTTTTCCGCCAAGCTTTTAACAGTTTGCAGCCTAAGACTTAGAAGTACAAAAATTTCAGGAGCAAAAATGCTATAAATCAGGTTTTCACTGCAATTTTTCTGTATGCTTGAAATTTTTCCTAATAAAGTGGTGAGAACATAAAAAAACATAGGAGAATTACTAGGGACCTGGCCAACATTGCAGCTTTAGTCCATCGTGTTGATTTATGTAATTCTTTGCAAAGGATAAAAGCAGGTTCTTCTACAGATGTAGTAATAAAATAATGGAAGCAGCCAATATATTCAGCACTTACTTTGAGCTCTACCTACATCATCTTATTGAATGTTCACAATTAAGCCATAAGGTATGTATTATTATCATCTCCCTTTCAGAGAACAGAGGCAGAGTGAGGCTTTAAAACAATGTGACTAGTTATAAATTCAGTCACATGCCAGCAAGGGGACAAAGCCAGGATTCAAACCCAGGGCTTCTATTCTGCACAGACCCAGTAGTCTTTCAAGGCCACCGTGAACTCCAGAGACCAACAGGCTGCCACATACTTAAAAATCACTGAATGTGTTCTGGGACTCTCAACAGATTTAGAAAGCTTCCTGAAAATGTGAAAGCAATACACCTTCAGGTTAAAAGCAGAGAGGGGCTCAGGGGCCCAACAAACCTGAGTTCAAATCCTGACTCTGCCACTTAAATCACCTCACCTAGCAAGCCCCAATTTTTCCATCTATGTAAGGGGAGTCATAAGTCATAATATTCCCCTCAAGGAGGCTGTTCCAGGGATTGAATGAGAGGATGCATTTAAAGTTCTTAGCACAGGCAAGACCTAATACATGGCAATCTATCAACAAAAGGCAGCCATTGTGGGTATTATTTTGAGCTTGCAGGAAGACCAGAGACCCTCAGCCCTGGTGTCATGTTCAAGTACCAAAGCCAAAGGGTTTTGAAGGGATGAAACGGGAGGAAGGACCCATATTTTAAAAGGAGAAAGAAAAGAAAAGGAGAGAGGCTGGACACACTCTGGTTTCCAGGTACAGAACTAAGACATTTGACTGTGATTTCTACTTGAACCCATGAAAACCAGAGTACAGTTGAGCCATTCTAAAAAGATCTTCTTAATTTGTAGTTACAGGTATGGAGAAAGCACACACACACACACACACACAGACACACACACACACAATCTTCTACCAGGTGAGGACAGGAAAAGAGCATATTCAAAATACTTCGGTCCAACATAGCTCAGCGCCAAGGCAGGAAGCTCAGAGTCCCTGTGAAGGGCGAGACGGCCCTTCCCAGCCCGGATGGAGGTACGGAGCTAAAGCAAGCAGTGCAAGGGCAGGGGACTGCTAAGCGCCCGGGGTTTGCAGGGAGGGCTGGTGACGCTGGGACCCCTGCAGCTGCCTCTATACTTTGAGAGCAGTAGTTTCAACTACTGCATCCCATTCATTAAAAACAAACAATCCTTAGTTTATTTGTTAACGTTGTTGACCCCAAAATACCATAGAGAGAAGTAGCAAATACAGTCTGTCCATTTCAGAACTGCCTTCTAGGATTGTACCCAAACCAGAGACTGAGTCAAGAGAGAAAGAAGGGCGTGCACAGGGTTAACCTTCCCCTAATCCTTTCCCTCCCACTCGCGACCCTGGAGAAGGCAGGGGAAGAAACGCTGGGAATTTCAGGTGTGCCCTGAACCTCACGCCAGGGGAGAAGCAAAAGCAGAAACCCAGCGGACACTCCCCCCTCTCCAGAGACGTGGGCGCTTTCCAGGATGGTCCAAAGGCTCCAGCGTCCTAGTGCATCCCGGGTGGAGAAAAGACCCTCCTCCCTCGGCTGCGGGAAAGACCCTACTTTCCAAGACCGGTTGCGAGCTTGGATCCTGGACTACCGAGTCCACCCCAGGCTCCCGGCTCAGCTGCCTGGAGATTCCCGAGCCTCCCAGTGAAGCCCAACCCGGAGGCTTTTGTTCGAGGGAGAGAGCGTCGCAGCGCAGCGCAGCGCAGCGCATCCCCGCAGCGCTGAAAGCCCCGCTGCGGGGGCGCTTCCCTCGGTCCGCTCCCTACCAACCCCGCGCTCCCGCGACCACCCGCTCCAGCGCACGGATCCCCAACTGTCCCACCCCCCGCCCGAATACTCACTTCTCCCCAGTCCCTCCGCTTTCCACGCCGTCTCCTCCACCGCCCCATAGCACCTCAAAGGCTTCTCAGCTTCCAGATGGATGGACAAAGATTGGTTTAACTCCATCGCTGATCTCCGCGGGCAGGTCGACGGGTCTCCCTTTACTCCATCCCCGCTGCGGGTTGCAGGGAGGGAGGCGGCTCCAGCCAGCAGCGTCTTAAGGGGCAGGGCGCTCGTGACGTTGCTCCATCTCTTCCGCCGCCAGGGCCGGGGACAGCCGACTGGTATAGGAGTGTGGGGGGGGGGGGGGGGG